GTTCGAGACCAGCCTGGTCTACAGAGCGAGTGCCAGGACAGCCTCCAAAACTACACAGAGAAACCCTGTCTCGAAAAAACCAAAAAAAAAAAAAAATTACTCTGGGTATCCAGGCATACATTGGGAGGCACTCACCAGGCACCTGGGAGGCAGCAGCTGATCTCTCCTAGTGTCAGCCAGTCAGGGCTACCTAGTGAGACACTGTCTCCGAAATAAATAAATGAATAAATAAACAAGCAAATAAAATTTGGGCTCAGTGATGGCACTGTGCCATCAAGGATTATCGTGGAACCCACATGGTGGAAGGAGAGAAATGACTTCAAAAGGGTGTCCTCTGACCTTACACAGATGCCCATACACACAATGCATAAATAAAAACTGATCTCACACAGGTACATACACACACACAATTCATAAATGAAAACTGATCTTACACACGTGCACATACACACACAATTCATGAATGAAAAGACAATTAAAAGAAAACATCTTTTACATAGTGGAAAGGAAACTAAATGCTAGAAATTATTTTTAGATGGAGAAATATAGGAGCCTAGCTTTATTTATTTATTTAGGACTTTAATGTTTCAATGTGTGTCTTTGCTAATTAGAGAAAAAAGAGACTTTTCCTCAGCAAACACAGGAGCCATCCTGAAGGGGACCGCTAGCTAACCCGGGACAGCTGGCCCATGAGGAAGGACAATGGCAGGGTTGGGTGTAGTGGTGCATGCAGTAATCCTAGCACGTGGAAAGCCGAGGCGGGAGGGTTTGCCACAAGCATGAGGCCAGCCTGGTCTGCATAGCCAACTTTAGGCCTCTCAGAGTTTCCTAGCAAGCTGACAAAGTGTAGCATGGGCTGGACACAGTGCTACCTGCCTACCTGTTATTCCCAAGCTGTAGGGGCTGGGGCAGAAGGATTGTGGATCCAAAAATAGTGTGAGCTACACAGCAATAAGTAAGTAAGCAAACAAACAAATTCTGAAAAGAGGAGACAAAAGGCTCCTTGTAAAACAATCCTAGCTGGGTGGTGGTGGTGCACTCCTTTAATCTTAGCACTCGGAGGCGGAGGCAAACGGATCTCTGTGAGTTCCAGGCCAGCCTGATCTACAGAGAAGGACAGGCAGGGATACACAGAGAAACCCTGTCTTGAAAAAAAACACACCAAACCAAACCAAAACTACAACAAAATTCTACCTAGAAAATATGAAAAGAGGTGTCTGGAGAGATGGCTCAGAGGTTAAGAGCACTGACTGCTCTTCTAGAGGTCCTGGGTTCAATCCCCAGCACCCACCTGATGGCTCACAACCTTCTGTAATGAAATCTGGTGCCTTCTTCTGGCATGCAGGTGTACATGCAGACAGAACACTACATCATAAATAAATCTTTGAAAAATAGAAAATATGTAAAGAACTTCAAATGACTCCTTGATCCCCATGTAAGACTTGCAGGATCTCAAAGGTGTGGATTGCCCAGGAAAGGCTGCCGGAAACTGGGACAGTCCTGTGTCCCTGTTTCGCACTCACACACACGTTAGTATCACTGAGTAAGCCAGTGAACTTGTTTGGAAGTGGAAGACTGGCTGATGCTGCCTTTTAGCAGGGGTCTGCATGAGCACAGCAGGCAGGGTGTCGCGGGAGATCAGGAAGCACACCTCTCTCCATCCCACCCTTCCAAAAATACCTAGTCTGCACCCAGTCCTGTGCAGACACCCAGGAAACTCGTCTGCACTCTTCCAAAAGGAAATCCATAGAGATACCAGGACAATTATAGATGAAAGACGCCAGTGAGACACAATTAGCAAAGGTGGTACTTGAAACAAATGAAAAAATATTTTGGGAACTGTAAGAGAAAAATTTTAAATATTTTAATATAAAATGAATTAAATAATTTTAAATTGAGACTGAGTGGAAATTTTGAAATTCAAGTAATCTATTTTTTGGGGGAGGCTAGGTTTTGATATGGTGTTTCTCTGTGTAACCCTGGCCATCCTGGAACTCTCTTTGTAGACCAGGCTGGCCTCAAACTCACAAGAGATCCACCTGCCTCTGCCATCTAAGTGCTAAGATTAAAGGCATGTGTCACCACCACCTGGCGACTATAGTTCTTGATGGTTAAATAATCGTGGGAGAATAAATTATGAAATACAGATTAGTGACTGAGTTTCTCTCGTAATTGTAATGATTGGGGGAGGGGCTGTGAAGAAGGGGAAGCTATGTGGAAGTAATTGTCTGTTTTCTCCTGCGTTGCATTTTATTTTCTCACTTCCCCTAGTGCATGAGGCTCCTGACTGGCATAGAAAATCTAGGGCTGAGGCCTTCCCTCATCTCCTGGTGCCAGTGGAATGGTACACTGCTCACACTTCAGATTTACAGTCTAAATACTGTCACTTAATCACTTCTGCTTAGCTAGTGTTTATACTGTCTTGAATTTGCAAGATGTTGCTGTGGCTGTTGGTACTAATTTGGCATTTAGATAAAAGTATAAAAAAAAACGTAAAAAGACAGAGAAAGGGGGAAACCACGGGTGCCACCCATGCGAAGCGCATGGCAGTTCTGTCTGCTAATTTGCTGTCAGGACTCTCTGGTGGCCCGCGAATTTTCCTCTGAGTAAAACATCACAAAGGACTGTGATCTTATGTTCTCTAGAAGTGACTAGGAGGCAAATGAAGTGTGAAGTGCACACCTCGTCTATTTAGAGAAAACATGAGAAACGGACTCTTGTGTTCATAGTGTGAACCACTAAGAGCAAGGCGGGAGTCCTTCGGGATTACACAGGGAAAAAAAAACTCATCTCCGCAAGGGCTCTCAGCTCTGAGTCCAGCATGTCTAACCGTTTGCCACAACGAAACTGCAGTGTAGAGATACCCTGGGCATGTTTTTCCCGCCTTCTCTCATCCCCCGCCTCATGTGAGGTAAAAGTTTCCTCCACCCTTGAGGTCCAAGTCAAATGTTGCCTCTTTTGCAATGTTTCCCTGCCAAAATGTTGTTTCTGACCCAAATTCTCTTTGTTTTGCTGGTCCTACACATGCCACACAAACTGTGTAGGAGGCCTCACACGTTGTGAAAAGTGACTCCTCTATTTCTGTGCCTTAACACTCCATGTGATTCTTGTGTCTGGTAATTGTCAATAGGCTGGCTAACTGACACTAGTCCTTTGATACTGAAATTTGTTATCTCGGGCCGATGAGATGGCTTAGAGCCCCAACTGCTCTTGCAGAGACCTGGATTTGCGTCCCAGTACCACATGCTGGTGCGTAACTGTCTGTAATTCCAGCTCCTGGAAATCTGATGCCCTCTTCTGTCCTCCATGGGCACATGTGCAGGTGGCGCACACGGAGATAAAGAAAAAAAAAAGCGAAATATATTTCTCGATTTTCTCACAAGTCTCCCAAGGACAGTCGGGTTGCTGTTAAAATCAAGCTACCCACCACCCATGTACCACCGTATCCTGTAACAAAATGAGTTTATTTTGTCATTATTTCCAACTCTGCTGGCAGGCCTTTTGAAGAATTCAGGTAGAGATGCTGGTGTGCTGTTTCTGGAATGTGGAAGCTCTTACCCTTCCCCTCTGTCACATCCACTGCGTCACCTAAAGAGCCCCATATGGCCACACACGCGAGCAGGTGCACTGTCCCTGCATCAGTCTGGGTGGGGTTGAGTTGTTACTAATGGAATTTGCGGTGCTGTTCACATTGCTAAGCATCTCACAAGTGCTTCCCCTTGAGTCCTTAGGACTGATTGGGCTCTGTGTCTTAGAATTGAGTTTAGTTCACGATGCCTGGGAACCTGAGGGTGGAACCCAGTTCTGCGGCTCCATATTCTTGCTGGAGTAAAGTAATCTTAATCCCAGCTCTTGGGAGGCAGAGGCCGGAGAATCTCTGAGTTCGAGGCCAGCCTGGTGGTCTAACGAACGGTTCCAGGACAGCCAGAACTGTTACACAGAGAAACCCTGTCTTGAAAAAACAACAACAACAACAAGACAGGGGAGGGAATAAGCTACCTCCGTGTGTACCGAGAATAAAACTTAAAAGGCACACAGAACCTGTGCCTGCTTTTCGGATTGTATTTCCCACCCGCCACTCTCCACACAGCTGTAGGAGTGCTTTCCAGGTGTGCCGCCGGCATGCAGCATGTGTTGCCAGGTAATCAGCGTCTGCAGGTTTTTTAAAGGAGGCACGGCAGCTCGGCACCGCCCCCCTCCCTCACTATTTGATTTAATAGCACCTGCCCCAAATGTAAAGCAATCCCAAGTGGAAACCTCTTTTGAAATACTTTTCCGCAGAACTCCCCCCCCCCCGTGTCTCGTAAAGGCTCTCTCTGTGATGTTATCGTTTCCTGTGACATTTTCCTATTTAGATCCCGAGTGGTAGAGCTCCGAAGGCACAGGGACACTATTGGGTTCACCTCTCTCCTTCTCTTGTGCTTTTTCCATTGGTTTAGGTTTTGTTAGAACTCAGAGGGTAGCTCACACACATCTCCTTTATCCACATTTCATACCTCAGCAAGAACTAGTTGCTCAGATGGGTCCTTACAGAGATCAGAGCTCCGAGGAATGGGACCCAGGACAGGTAAGAGTTTAGGGGCTGAGGGAAGGGCTGCAGTGTGGGGGCACGGTGCCCCAGGGGAGGTCTGGGAGGGCACTGGTGTGCCTTGGAGAGGAGTGGCCCTGGTAACTGATGTCCCTCAGGAAACAGTCACCATGCCTTCAACTTTGCTTTGGAGTGTCAGTCCATCCTGGATGCTGCACGAGGCGGTGGCCGTGACCAGTGACCTCTTACTTTCAAGGCTTGGCACGTGCACAGGCAGCCTCTCAGGCTTCTGCCTCCCGTTGAGGACCAATGACTCTCTGAGATGGTTGCTTCTCCTCCTAAGTGGAGTGGGAAATTCAAAGTGTGGAGGTCTCAGAATTAGAATCTGCTCGCTGTTAAAAGATGGAGAGGAACCGTTCTCCCACGGCCAAGTGTAACTGGGAAATGCCTTTTCCATTTCTCCACTTTGCAGACAGCTGCAGCGTGACTTTCCCAGGGCCCTGATTTTCAGCACCGATGATTTTTTCTTCAGGGAAGATGGTGCCTATGAGTTCAACCCGGACTTCTTGGAGGAAGCTCATGAGTGGAACCAGAAGAGAGGTGACAAACTCCTTTCCAAACTCCTGGGAAACCCTGTTGTACATGTAGATTATAGCAGCTTCAAAATGAGTACTTTCCATGGAAGGAGCTTTAAGCAAAAGCGTTGCCACTTTTCTACCCAAGCAGGATGGCAGGGCTTGCCCTCAGTAGTAGATTCCAGCAAAAGGAGCCCCCTGAGAATGGTTCTGCACTAGGTAGCGAGCGGTTCACTGTTCGAGGATGGCCTCCTGCAGTGCAAGTGACAAAATGTGGGTGATGCTCGCTCTGGTGACTGCTGCATGTTGTTCATTGTTGTGTTGCATTGTGTTACAGCAAAGAAAGCAATGCAGAATGGCATATCCCCCATTATTATTGATAACACCAACCTGCACGCCTGGGAGATGAAGCCCTATGCAGTCATGGTAGGAAGAAGCATCACTCTGAATTTTCAGTTTGGGGCGTTTCGTGAGAAAGTTGAAACCTGTGTTCTTTCTTTTTCTGGCCTTCCATGATTTCACATTCACTAATGGTAGCTCTCCCAGGGGGCAGGCAACATTGTCTTAGGGTTTCTCTGCTCTTCAGTTGCTGAGGAGCCTCCTTACCTCAAAGGGTCTGAGTTGTCGTCCCCCCTTCCCTCCTTTTGTTTTGAGACATGGTCTCTCTACATAGCTTTGGCTATCCTAGAACTCACTTTGTAGACCAGGCTAGCCTTGAACTTGTAGAGATCTACCTGCCCCTGCCTCCCTTCTTGTTATCTTTTCAGTCCAGGCTATTTTCTGTTTAGGGGAGTGAGCATCCACTGATACTTTCAGTGAGTTATAGACTAGAGAACACACTAGCAGGATTATGGGTCCCAGTGAGCTGGGGATTGCAGGCTGGGGATTTCAGTCCTCTATTGCTTAGAGTTCCAGGGCAACAGAATTTCTTAGTCTATAAACAGATTTAGGATCACCAGCATGACCCTGTTAAGGCAGTAGAACACAAATATCAACACACAACTCGGCTCCATTCTGATCTTTTCGGACATTGTTTGTATCTTACGAGGACAAGTTTTCATTCCACAAACAGAGCAGAGCAGGAGGCAGACGGCTTCTTGACTTACACATGGCCCCCAGTATGTTGTGATGTCTCTTCCATGGGGCTCAAGGCAGTTTAGCTTTAGGATTCGTTCTACATTTAGGTAGAACATTATACAGACAGCCTTACTTCTGTCTGCTGACACTTCCTTGACACATCTACTCAGGCCCAGGGTGGAAACCTGGGTGAATATAGACCCTGCATTTCAGTTCATATTCAAGGCCACATGAGACTAGCAGGGCCATGAAGAGCTGATGTGTACCCAAACCAGCATTAAGGAACATCTGACAGTGGTTTCCGTGAAGTCATTTCACTTCTCAGTTTTGGATATTAGCCACCCAAAGCTGTTAATGAGACCCAGTCATTAGCTGTTCTTAAGACACGGTGATTGAATTCTTTCCTATTCGAATAGAACATACTATCCAAAGGACGGAGAAGAAACTTGGATATTTAGATGCATTCATTAGTTGATAAATAATAATCTTACATATTCATGGACTACAGTGGGCTGCTTTGGTGGATGTTATCATGACTGACTCAGGGAACTTAGGTTGTCTGTCATCACAAATACAATTTTGGTGTGTGATGAGAACACTCAGAATTCTTTGCTGGCTGTTTTGATTTGTATAGTATTAACTGTAACCCCTTCTGCTGTAACAGCACAGCACACCAGACCTTATGCATGCTGCCTCCTTCTGAGGAGTCCTTCAGCTTAGCTCATTTAATTCTATTTTATAACACCTTGAGCACTAGTGATAACAAAAGGCTGTTTGAATAAAGTGGTCAGCATATGAATGCAAAGAATGTTTAGCTGTTGACATGAGAGCCTTACTAATCATCGAAACTCACAAAAATGGGGCCCAGGGCATTGGGCCATGCACTGCAGAGCAGGGAGAGCTGCATTTGCAAGAAACACTGTATAAAATATGTGAAAAGCACTTTGACTTCATAAGCTGTGTGGCACTCTCAGTTACAAACCAAGATGGGAGGAAGTAAATCCATGATAACCATGGAGATGACTTTAGGAACTCTCCAGGCTCATTGCTCACACCTGTGTTTGGGACATTTCATCGTGAGGTCAGTGATCAGTCATAAGGATGCTCAGAGTCAGACTAGATAAAACTGATAAACTTTAAGACATGTAACACAACATGAGTGGCTAGATATGGGGACAAAATGCAGTAGATAGACTCAGGGCCTGGATGACTCGTAAAACTGGGGGACATTTGGACAAGACTGTGGTGAATGTTAAGTGGAGCGCGAACATCTCCAAGCATACATGCCATGTCTTCAATGTTTTATGTACTTTTGAAAAATCAGGCACTTGAGAATAACTATGAAGTTATATTCCGAGAACCCGACACTCGCTGGAAATTCAACGTTCAAGAGTTAGCAAGGTACCTCTTTGTTTTCCTAGTTCCTCATTCTGTATCCTGCTATTTTCAGGTATTTCAGACCGAACAAAAGCATCTTTTCAGGCTGGAAATGGACTGTAGTTTTCAGGCCAGAAATGGTAATTCTTAGAGATTGATAAATTTGGAACTATTAATGTGAAGACTTGAGTTTTGAGTCAGATGTCTAATATAATGCTAAGTGCTAACCCTTGGCTTGAACTTGGTCCTTTTGAAGGATGCCCTTACCTTTCTTTATGCTCAGTTGCTTCTTCATTAATGAGCATTGAAAACACTTCCTCTGCATGGGATGCACATGTCAGCGGTGCTTCTGCATCAGGCTAAAGCAAGACCTTTGAATGTTAAGCAGAATGTGGCTCATTCATGCTACAAGTGCTGCTTCGATTTACACAGCAACACGTGTCCAAATAATACTAACTGATTTTCAATGCATGGCTTCTGATAGCCACTCTCCATGTTCCCTGAAGCTGTGATCCAGCAGAAGCAGAGTATTTCCATAGCGAGTCTATGGTCACTCCCTCCATTGCCTAATTGTTAAACCTGACGAGGTTAATGAACTCTATTCTGTAATTGAAATCTTGGCAATTCCACTTCTAACCACATCCCCAGATGGTATTTGTGCCCTCTAGAACTTAAGATTGTTTTAGTAAGTGACATTTGACAGTATCAGAGACCAACTGATGCAAACTGATAATGGATACATGCATGTCACCCAAGGCATATCACTAAATACATGAGTAGTTATGTCATATGGTGTTTGTTCATGTCAACACCACCAGAAACAAAGCTTTTCGGAAGCTAGCCGCAGGCTTGTTCTGGGATGCCCATAAGAGCCAGTAGAGCTGCAGAGGCCCTTCAACAATAGGACATATGCTTTTGTCCTGAGGCAGAGCAGGAGCCATGCAATGTAGGATTTGTAATGTAAGCTACTTGTTTGGATAACCCACCTTAACTAAACATTTGTGGGGTTTTTCTTCTATGTAGAAGAAACATCCATGGAGTACCAAGAGAAAAAATACACCGGATGAAAGAACGGTATGAACACGATGTTACCTTTCACAGTGTCCTTCATGCAGAAAAGCCAAGCAGAGCGAACAGAAACCAGGACAGGAACAGCGCGCCTTCCAGTGGTTCCGGGTACTGGAGCACCTACACAGAGCTCCCCAACAGAAGGGCTCATGGCGGCTTCTCCAACGAGAGCTTCAGGAGAGGTGGCTGTCACCATGGATATTAGCAATCCTTGCACAGCCATTGCAGATTTTTCCTAAAGAAGTTTCTACTTCGATTTTTGGTATTTATTCTTTGTTCAGTTTTAGTCAGAGCTCTAATTCCAGTGTAAATAGCCAAAGCCCAGAAGTTTCTGAACAAAAGTCATTATATTTGTTATCTCCAACAAGCAATGTCGGAGTGCACCCATATGGCTTGATGCCGAGGGTTCTGCTGAGGGCTCGAGGGTCTTTCTCTAGGGAAGGAGTTGATTTGAACCTGAAATCTAAGATTATCAGTTAGCTGCAGTCATAAACAAGGTGTTACTGGTACATTTCTGTGGGCTATAGTACCACTCACTGTCTTAGACAGATCCATCTTCTCCATAGAGCTGGAGAGTGAGGGAGGCAGAGGCAGAGGCAGAGGCAGAGGCAGGAAGCAGCTTCGTGCCATTACTACTCTGATAGTCTGTGTCTAGAGACTAAACTCCTCATTCTAACGGCACTGGTTTTCTTTTAGAAAGCAGAGAAGGGAATGTTGCTCTTCAAGGTGACATTAGGGAACTTCCTCTCTCATTGTAATGATGTGTCACTGTTAAACATGCCTGTGGATTCTTAGGAACAAAGGCAACTAAGAAGAACCGGTACCTTTACAGTCAGACCCTGCGCTCTGCAGTGTCAGCAGGATAGACCCCTCCCTCTGGCTCCTACTCTCACTGTAAATAAACCTGCTTTTGCAAAAACACCAGTTTTAAAGAATCATCAAGTGATTTCTAAAATGATGCTATAACGTGTACTTAGTTAGCAACCTGGATGTTTAGGAGTGCAAAGCAATGAAGCAGCTAGGGTGTAGGTCATACAAGGAAATGTGAAGTCACGCTCACTGAGGTGACAGGCTATTTCATGTGGTATTGACAGTAAACTGTGGAATGCCCCTCAGATCAGTTATGAATTTATGAGTCCAAATTAAATCCCAGCAGGCTGGAATCAGATTCACTTGGTACGAGACCATGACACGACCATGTGGGATGTATGCTGTACTTATTTTCTGGTCAACAGCTTCTTTCTAATGTTTTGTGAACTATTACTTTAAGTGTCTTATATAATGGTGCTTTTATGGTTATTAAAATTGTATATGATATTGCATTTGTATTGGGTTTGCCATTGAATTTATTTTTGGCTTAACAACAAAACATTTGCCACAACCCAAGGACTAATACCATAAAATAACCTTTGCATATATCATAAGCTTATTCATGAATCATTAATAACTAGGAGGAATGAAGTCTGCATTAGAAAGCCTACTTGCCATTCCATTATCAACACTGTTGAAATCCACTCAACATGTTCATGACGATAAGTAATGTACTTCCTTAACATTTTCAAAATTGGTGCTTTAGGAATAACAGAAAGCCCAGCGTATGAGTAATAGTAAATTGGGATGAATCCGCCATTCTAACTTTGCTAAATTCTAATGCTAAGCATAACACACAGCAGTCCTATAGCAGACCCATGGAACTATGGGTCTCAGAGCCTGTATAGACCTGCAGAATGACTTTGGAATGGATGGCTTCATGCATCTAGGTTGGCAGAGGGGAGAAGGGTCAGAGTCCACATGGGATTTCCTTCCTTTGGTTCCTGCCCAGCTATGTCTCTGCTTTCTCTTACGAGGAGATACCAAAATACTTGGTTTGGAAGCATAAAACAACTGGTTAAATGCCACCAAGCTTATCTCAAAAAACAACTGATAAACGCCACCAAGTGTATCCCATTTAGAAGCAATGCATTCTTTTCCTTTCAGCTTCTCTGGCCCTGACTTCTGGACCCTTTGACCTGCCATCACTGGCTTGCATTACTTTATCTCCACTCCCATCATTTATAGAGCTAGCAGAGTGCTCTGTAACCCAAAGGCTCTCAGTAAGACCAAGTAACACCAAATGCTTTTGCCATTTATCCCTGGCCACGCAGCATACACTGTTGGCTTTCATTGGTGTCACTTTAGGAGAAAAGTGCACATGCTGAAGCTTCACACTTTGCTTACGCAGCACAGATGTTTGTGGTCTATGTAAAAGCTGTCTGTGCTAGGTGGCCTGAGGCAGGATGGAGAAGGTAATAGCATTTTTGATAGGATCCACCAGAAAAAAGGTCAACTATCAGCCGGGAGGTGGTGCTCACACCTTTAGTCCCAGCACTCGGGAGGGAGAGGCAGGTGGATCTCTGAGTTCAAGGCCAGCCTGGTCTACAGAGTTAGTTCCAAGACATCCAGGGCTATATAGAGAAACCCTGTCTCAAAAGAACAAACAAAAAGGTTAAATTTTATAAATGGCATAATTACAGTATATGTAAGACTTGTTTACTCTGCTCTAGGTTGGGTCTAGGACACGAAGATCAAATTATTTTATGAGCAAAACTTCAATCACCAATGAGAGTAGACAGAACACTAAAGGCTGAAGCTCAGTGAGACAGAGCATGGCCTGCAGTTGGTGCTGTGGTTGGCAAGGCACCACATAGCAGGCCATCTTGAACTTGGCAAGTAGTGAAGATGACTTGGAATTCCCAATATCGTCTCTACCTCCGTGCAGGATGACAGGTGTGCATCATTATGCCTGACTGGATTTCTAGCTGGAATAATGTAATTTGAGAGATTATAGACTTTGAGGGTTCCTAGAGCTGAGAAAGATGACAAATTGGCCAGAAGTAAACACCACTGTCCTGTCTGTTTATCCTGACAGGATGGAACTCTAGCAGAACCAACCACATGTGAAAGGACACTATTTCATGAGTTACCTACAAAACCTTAAAAACAGGAACCAAACTAAAACAAAGTATCTAGTAAAGTAATAGCACTTAGAGACCTTACCTTAGTCAGTGACACAAACTAAACAATAAAGGTATGTTTATTTTGCACATAAAATAATGCTTGTAGTGATCAAATCTAATCAGAGAGATTTAAAGATTCTTAAATTTTAGTTGGTGTCTGGCCAGCTTTAGACAACTGAATAGTTACACAAATACCGAACCAGGCAGAACATCTGTGTAGTATACAAACACTCCAGGAATGTGCAGTTATTCATGTCTTGTCACACACATGTGTAGTTTTAGAACTGTACACATCTTAAAAACTGGGAGGCTAAGACTCAAGAGCTAATTTTCCGTCACTGTCGTCACGTCTGTAATCCCTGAGATACACTCCTTCTTGAATTGGAGTCCTACATGCTGGTCTGGCCTCTGTGCTGGCTGGGGGTTCTTTTGTCCTGGGGGCACAGAGTTTTTGTGGAGTCACCAGGAAATACTTGCTGATTTCCTTGTGGTGAGCCAGGTACAAGAGCTTGGGTATTGAGCAAGGCAAGTTCTTCATCAGCTACCACATCTTGTTCCAAAGGAGAAATGCCACTGCCCTTCTGAAACGGCGTCCTCCTCTGAGGGGAACTGAGTTCTTTTTTCTTCATAGGTGTTGCATATTTGGTGCCACAACTCCGTGGCGGCTGAAAAGCCTTCTGTGCAGCCGGAGACACAAAGGTACAGATGGGACTGACTGGGGGAGGTAAGGGCAGTCGACTCAGCAAATCCAAGGCTCTTCTTTTTCTGCAAGTTTTTGGGTCATCAATCTCTTTCTCCCTGTTACAAGACTTTGATGCCATCTGGGCTGACTGAGCCAGGGATGTAGACTTCTCTTTTGGTGTGCAATGTGATAAAGGACTTTGATAACTTTGCTCACTATTAGGAGAAAACCTCTAAAAAAACATAAAAAAGGAACCTATCATAATATGTACTTGTATATAAACAAAATAAAACCTAATCTTTCATTAAAAAATACAAACAGAGGGACACGTTCTTTCTTATCAAATTGCTGAACGATAGATGATGTCAAAAACATCCATGCTGTTATTCCCATTTCACAGGAAATAATTTTGCACGAGAGGGTATAAAAATGACTAGAAAAGGAAAATGAAGAGATCCTAATATAAGATTTTAAAAAACTCCAACATGTGACATCATTTATGCTTTCACTTTCCAAGGGTTATAAAGCTAAAAATGACATACTTTTCAAAATCATTTTAAGAACACATCCTGCCTACTACTACTTCTTCCTCTTCTTCCGAACATTATTCATTCATACATTTAGTGTATGTACATGTTGTGCATGTGTGTATGTGTGCATTCGAACACTCACATGCTCCAGCACACCTGTGGGAGTAGGTTCCTCCACTCTACCAGGTAGATTACAGATATCAGAATCATCAAGCTCATCCACAAGCACCTTTACCCGCTGAGCCACAGCTGACTGGCCTGGAGTTCTAACACCTTTCTTTTTCCTAGTCCCGAGTCACTGTTCAGCTTCTTTGCCAGTCTAACTCTAACAATGGCTTTTCTTGTACAGAGTGAGGATTGCTTTAGTGAGTTAGGGTGCTGTGCAGTGCCACCTGTCCAGTCAGTCCTAGCAATCAGACACCTGCCACCATCTAATGAGCCAACTGAGCTTAGAAACAGTGTAACAGCTAGCACATGGTATGTACCAGCTGTGGTGATATCTTGCTTGTACAATACAGAAGGACATTCCCCATCAATGGGCACCTCTTCTAGCGATAAAACACGCCAGAGGCTTTTTTCCCAAATGTACTTAGAGTGCCATAAATGTAGTTTGCTCCCAAAGGTTTATATTCATACTTCAACAAATAGCTTACAATTTCCACACATAGCAGGTACAGCAAGCTTGTCACAGGGTAAATGCAGTTTAGTTATACCTCGTGTTTGCTAGACCATGCCAGTGCATCGGTTACTTCCCAGCGTGATTTCTCAAACTGATAACTTACCACTAGCTGACCTCCTGTAGCTAGGAGTTCCGAAGCAGGGCAAGTGGAGGCTGGCTGAGTGGAGTCTTTCTTTGGGGTGGACCACTTGGGACTGTTTCCATTAAGCAGATGTAAAAGCTTCTTTTCTGCCTCCTTATAAAATGTATCCATATTCTAAGAGAGTAAATTAGAAAAGCTAATTCACACATCAATGTTCTTGGAAAGTATTTTCTTTCAGAAATAAAACATTCAGAACAAAAGAAGGAGTCACATTTTTGTTTGCTGTTTATTAGCTAGGGTCTTGCAAGCCCAGCTGGCCTGGTGCTCACTCTGGAGAGGAGGCTGGCGCTCAAGTTCTAGAATTGCAGGCACATGCCACCAGGCCTGGTGAGACACTTCAGATTTGACAGCAACCGTCAAGTGCGCACATCAGCAAAAACCAACTCCTGCTATGGGGTGAGGGGAGGAGGGCGCTAAGGAGCACACCTGCTCATGTGTGGAAACACTGGGCTCCAGGCGCCTGTGTTACTGCTTCCTACTCCCTAATCTTACCTCAACAGTTTGCCTCAGTCTGTTGACTCGCTCCTGAAAGTAGACCTCCTTTGGACTGGTAGAAACTATGGAAAGATTCCCAGCAAATAATGTTGGCACTCCTGATCTGGATTCTGGGTGCCACTGGAGGTTGCTCGCAGCAATTAGCACATGTGGCTTTATGTCTTCATTAAGGTCTATCCCAAACTTTACCACTAATAAATTAAGGCATTCGTCAGACAGGTAGAGCAAAGGAGCAAGACCTAGAATGAAAAGTAAGTCATTGTTATTTTTACAATTGCTAGGACAATGATATACTTGTTTGTTCTAGTATACAAAAACCCTGTGTTTAGAGAAAACATGGGATTTTCAGAATCACCAATTGCTTAAGGTGCTAATATTTCAATGGCAAACATCCCAAGGCCACAGGGCAGCAGATACATGATACACTGCGGGTGGGAATGTAGACCTGATCCATCCTTGTGGAGAAAAACTTGGCATTGCCTAGCAAAGCTATGTACACCTTACTTTCCACCCAGCATTCTTATTCCTAGCAGTCCACTCTGAAGACAGATGCCCAATAACAGTAAAACACATGTGAGCAAGGGTCATGGTAATAGTTGCACCAAAGTCACTCACTGTAGTTCTGTCTGCTATTATAAAATGTTGGAAGCAACCCTGATCAGCTCAAACACATGAGTAGCTGTGTTGCACCCACACAACGCTTTCCTAGGCAGCTGTGAAAAGAATGAAGAAAAATCCCAAGACAGTGCTTACTAGGAAAAGCCCACCAGAAAGACTCCAGTGTCACCCTGCATAGCA